CTTGCAAATAAACAAACTCAACATAACGGGACAACGTAGGCACATATACGGAATGAGAGTTTAAAGGAGATATTCAAAGAAAAACGACGTTTTCGTGTTTGAGAAAGGGCAAAAGAAATAGATTTTCGAATAGAAGATTCCAAGGAAAGCATATTCTGTGGGGTGACGTTGACCAGACAGCGAATAGAAACGAGAAGGGAAAGAGTTTGCATGATGCGGAGGAAATACAAGGAAGACAAGGTAGAGGCAGACAGACGAAAGATGGTAAAGTGTTAGAACTTACGGTAGGTGGTATTATGGAATGGCAAAAGTGTGATGAAAATAATTCGGGATGTTGTGAGATCTAAAGAAGTATTTTGGGGCTGGAAAAGGCGGGAAGAAGAAACAATGAGGAGCGGTGACAGATGCATTAATAATTGGCAAGTTCGAGCCGCGTAAGGAGAAACAATGATTGAAGGTGCATGAGATATAGGGAGGTAAAAAAGAGAGAAGAATGCATGGTAGAAGAATGCAATAAAAGACATTGACAGATTGGGGAAAGATATCCGTCGCCGTATTCAACGCTTTGTATAAAAAGTTAATCAAATCCAAATATTGAATTATGAATTAACTTGTACAATATATTTAACTATTGGGTAACTTAAAAGAAGACAAAGAGGAGAGTAAGGCAGTAATTGATACGGAGAATGAGAGCGGGAGATTCAGAGACAGAAAAAAGATGAGAGATTCAGAGAGAGATACTGAATTCAATACTGGGAGGTATTGAGAGAGAAAGAGCGAGAAAGTGTGAGAGAGGGGAGAGGAGGACGAGGAGGAGGAAAACGTCAAAAGGAGCTGCTGTGAGAGAGGAAGGCCTGAGGCAAATTGGAGAGGGAGACAAGATAGAAATGAAATGCGGAAGATTTCGAGCATAGGCGTATTCACCAAACGGCGGAGAGAGAGAGAGAGAGAGAGAGAGAGAGGGAGAGCGAGAGAGGGAGAGCGAGAGAGGGAGAGCGAGAGAGGGAGAGCGAGAGAGGGAGAGCGAGAGAGGGTGAGCGAGAGAGGGTGAGCGAGAGAGGGAGGGAGAGAGAGAGATGCGTAACCGACTGGGCGGGATGCAATAGGCCGAGAGGGGGAGGAGGAAACTGTGTGGGTGCACTCGCAGCTCGACGCAGGCGAAACGGGAACCAGGTGGATTTGGGGCTAGAACAAGAGCTTCCACCTAGCACTAGACGTCCCCAGGCGCGCTCCGGGCGTAGCGCTCTGGAACTGAGAGACGTCGAGCGAAATAACGCGATATCGCGAATTCCACGCTGTGCGGCTTCTCACGAACGGCCCCCACCCCAACTCCCATCCCCACCCCCGCGTGCGAGGCCTCTAGCTGGTGAGGAAACCCTTGCTGACCGAGGGCCACGTGCCGTTGATATAGAACCCCCTCTTAAAGTAAAGCGTTATAACATGAATGCCTCTCACTGTCCTCTTATTTTAGAATATAAAAAAGAACTGCGTGTAGAGATTTACGTACATGTATTATGCAAACAGTTTACTTGATTTCGGTTTTCGGTATTAAGAAATAATACAAAAATTTCCTTCTCAGTCACGGTCTTCACTTTTTTATTGCAAATTAATGGATATCATTAAAATCAGTTACTGGAAACTAATACCATTTCATCCACGAAATTTTACGTTGCAACTAGTTAATCGAATTGTCGAATACGCATCCCTATTGTATATTTTACTTGTCACGTACGATGAAGATGGAAGTGGGAAATTACAAAAATACTCGTCTTTACCACTTCGTTCTTTACATTGCAAAGCCTTTACTGTAAAATATCTTCCTCCAAACTTTTTTTTGTTGCCCCTCGTTGAACAAGTCATTTGTGAAATATCATATTTCCTATTGATATGAATAAATCTTGATACTATTTAAACAATTTTATGGATATTATTAATATATTATTTCTTTAGCTATTATCAATATTATGTCTTCCGTTGCCCTGCTATGCTCATAAATTCTATCAATGTTAAAATATTATTATACAAATTTCAGTTTTACATTTAATTGTAGATTTTGTACCTGCATTTCTCTCCATCCTTTTTCATGTGGTCGGTGCAATTCAATTCTATGCTTAAATACGGTTTTTGGAAGTTCTTTGGATTAAAAACAATTATTAAATTGATGGCAACTACTATAGATGATCAGCCTGTTCTTTTCTCAATAATAAAATATAATATTTATTCCGACATTCTTACAAAATTCTCGTGAATGAAATGATAAACATTTCTCTGTACAAACATTAAAGTACCGTCCAGTTTTGAATAAAATTCATAAGATTACAGCCATGCCTTCTTAGATGTTCTTCTCGGATATCTTTGGGCTCGATGTTGTCCGTGGGAAGTCCTCAATACCCCTATTATCGTGCTCTTAACTATCGTTAGAATAGATTACAAATGTTCCCGGAATATCCTCGACTATTTGATACTTATAGGATTCAGTAATTTCTATGAATATAAATTAATTAGCGGTCGCGGCTTGCCATGTGCTTTGGATGAAACACATACGCGTGACTATCTATCTTCGGCCGACTTATGAAAAATTCCTCCCATCTACGGAGATATCCCCTTATAATATAAATCCCTTTGAAGTACAGAGCATATTTGAATGCAAATCCCAAATTACATTAACAAAAATTACAATTATAATTCAATGCCGGTAACATCTTCGACCACTTACATACGTTACTCGGCCTCACTATGATTTAACTAATACCTCAGTCTATGCAGTGTGTTCAGCTCGGTAGCTTTCGAGTGAGTCATTATTTCAACCTTCCCACAGAATCACGGCTTTCAATGCCATCTCCACACCTCTCGCAAGTAATGACTCTGGGGCCGTGCCTTCTCAAATGAACAGCGCTTTCACACCAACAACGAGCAAGAATATACTACATAGAGTGGCTGAAGCGCCTCCATCTTTAAAGCAAACTGAAGCCACGTTTTTTGCAGTCCAAGCAGCGCCTTCCGGGAAAAAAAGTTTTCTAGTATTACGTTTGGCTACTCGTATGTTTTTACTTCAAAAAACATGTCAGCCACTACTTAGGCGAGCCTCTACCAGGAGCGCTGAAACTATAAAGACAGCCACTCTAAGTAGAATATTGTAGCTCACTGGACACCAAACATGGAATACTACACTTTCTTCATTGGTTTCCTAACAACGTATATTCTTTGGTTTCCTACCCTGCATACAATTGTATCATATTACACCCATTTGACGCCATTTTTTCCATTCGAATTTAATGCGGGGTTTCTGGTTTATCACATTATATACTTGAAAGATGGGCACAGACTCTCAGATGCGAAGTAAAAGAACTGATTTGGCTTTACCTTTAAGTAGTTGAAACTCTTATGCAAAGAGTGGAAAAAGCTAAGGAACATGAAGTTGCGCCTTCTATCTAAATAATTCTGCATTCTGAGATTCACCATTGCACGTGAAAAGTTTCGAAGATGTTACGTTATCGAACTGCGTTGTTTTTTATTATGACCGCTCGATGAGAAGCTATAATAAAATGCTACGAAATGTGTTTCTAGATATATGAAAGGTGTGTACTTGTGAAATTTTTGAACAAGAAAAGACCTGAGTTAGAAAATCCGATTTAACTTTTCATGGCCTTGCGTCGGTAATCAATATTTTCCTGCTTAATAAAAAGCAAGTAGGATGTAATATCCAAAAACCAATATTATGATCGTATTTTATACATCGCAAAAAAAATTAATTAATTCGAAGCCGAATTTTAAATTCTTTATGGATTAACTGGCACAATATATGTGAACATTGAGTAGTTTTAAAGAAATGAACGCGTTTTTACACACAAGCCTTGCAGGTTTGCTATAACCTGACTAGTCATGTCAGAATCACTTCCCCTCTTCGTTCAACACAGCTACGTTTCAGTCTGAACGACTCAGTCATTACTCGACCGCGAGCGCACCCGCCACCGCAACAGCTTCCTGTTTATTCTCGCCACGCGCCTTCGCGCACAAGATAGCGAATCCCTTACTTTCGCCTTCGTGCGGCGCAGCGCATCAGCCGGGACCGGGGGCGGGGGTGGTGGTGGAGGTGGAGGTGGTAGCTGTGGCGTGGGCGGGGATGATGGTGGTGGCTGTGGCGGCAGGGGTGGTGATGGGGGCAGAAGCAATGGTATAGGTGGGGGCAGGGAAGGCAGGAACACGGTCGATGGCAGGGGT